CAGTGCACGGAAGCTCAAACAGGAGATAGGTATGCTCGTGCATTTTACTTTTTAGTTAAAAAAACAGTGAGTTCAGAACATGCTGCAGAAAGTTAAGAACAAGTTTGGAGACACCAGCAAGCACTACATTGCAATAATCAAGCCTGGAAAAATGTAAGAAAACATGCATTGGTTGTTCTACACCATACTGGTGGAGATGTGTACGGATATATGCATTGTCACGAAAAAGAAAGAAAGGCACCTTCACATCACTTCAGGCATGAGCCTCAAATGTAATGTGTGAACAATAATGACATTCTCCTTCAGGTCTCTCTGAAAGGAGACACATCACCCCTTGAGCTTCCAAAACATCTTGGAAAAGACAAAATGTCCCTGGGACAGCGTGTTTTGATCCAGGAAAACAAACAACTAAACAGAAATCAACAAAGAGGAAACTGTCTAAAATCACTGACCCAGTTTCGTACTGGAGCCAATCATCCTCTCCTCTGTGTAGACTGTGCTGCTGTCTTCCCTATCAAGGGAAAAAAAAGATAAGAGATCATTATCCATTTTCTTACCTTTGGACGTCTTACTGCCTGAATAGACCAGCACAAGGGACATTTTTCAGATCTAAATTATGCTCAACACTAACCTTCCTGAATTCCCTTGTATCTTTGCAGCCCAGAATGGTCTACCCACCCCCTCTCCCCAACCAGTGAGTGAATGTAAACAGCAGGCAGCTTCTTCTTAAAAAAAAGAGGCCTCTGGCACTCATTGCTCATGCTAATGAGCAATAAACAGGTCTGCTTAATTTTCCTCCTCACAATTCAGATCACTTAAAAATAACTTTAAATCAGATTATGCATGAAAGCAACAGCTCAGCACAAACGTACATATGGTGGCAACTGTAGACAGACTGATTTCTGTATAAAGCCCCTACCTATGTTTTCCTAGGCTAGATCTTAGTCTGTGCCTTCAAGGCTTCATTATTAATAATAAATGATAATAATAAATCTCTTTTCTCATACATACAGTACACTCACCTCCAAAAAAAGAATTTAGCAGATACAAGTGATTCCTGTTTAAAAAAGTAATACATAAGTCACTGCATCATAAACGCTGCTCAAACTCTGCAGACACTTCCGTATACGCCAGGGGTCTCTCACCCTCAATCCAGTTCTTCATACTCTAAACTGGTTTTTAAAGATTAGGAATGCTTGCAAGTTGTTGATCATTTAAACTTCTAATTTGTTATGTTCAGGGATCTCCAGTCTTTAGGACTGAAGTATATTCTGATTTCTTTTCCAGATGATCTTTATATTGCTTAATTAAACAAATGATCTATTTAATTGATCATGCTTGAATTGTTTAACATATTGTGGCTAATTGCTGTGTAAGAACTGCTTGACTGGGCTCTACAGGAACAAGGTGTAGTTGTGACTGTAATGCTAGACCAGTAGGGGGCACTCCAGTGTATAAACAGAGGACACTGTGCCATCTTTCAGATATTGAACCAAAGGCCTGACAATTTAAATTGTTAACCTCGGTGTCCCGGTTATGTGACTTGGGCATGCACAATTAAGCTTCCCTAAACTCCCTCTTAATTCAACATTGGTGCAGAATGGCTACGACACAGTTAGGAGCTGTACTTCAGTGGTGGGTGAAGTGGGCGTGGCCCCTCCTATGAGTTGAGTGATTTGGGATCCTTTAGAATGAAAAGCAAGACAAACATTTAAGCAGTAGTGATCAAGTATTTTGCCTTTCACATTCCCTTTCATTTCTCTCATTTACCCAGGTAAGATCTTTCCTAAACTATCACCCCTGTTTCCTAGATCAGCAGCCTGTCTTTGAAGGGTTGTCAAAGAGATGGCCTGACCCTTTCTTGCCAGGAATCCAAGGCTGGATGAGACTGCGTACTCTGACACCATCCTTGCTGTAAGGGATGTAATCACAAGTTCAGAAACGAACAAATAAACCTCACAACAGTGGGCAATCTCAATGCCTGTTCACAGAGACAGCAAGTCCACTTAGTCAGACAGCGGTCACTATGGGAACCAGGCTTTTCCTCTGTCCCACAAATCTTTCTGTTGAGACACAGGCGTTTGCACCAAAGTATGGGGTCCACTGAGATTCTCTTTATAAAGTTCTGTAGGCTGTGAAGTGTTTTTTACTGGTATCACAGCCAATGTTACAATAACTTAATATGTGTGTGTGCCATGAACCTGTTATTCATCAGCCAAAAGAGGTGTTTACAAGGAATAACAACCCCCATTGAAAAAAATGTGTTAAGGAATGTTTATAGAAAATTTGGGCATAAGCAGCCCATCTGGCTAAGGGCCAGTCACTTGGCTAGAGGACAAGGAAGTGTGGACCCCCTGTGCAGAATAAAATTAACCAAGCAATAGCAGCAAAGATAAAGACAGAGTGCAAGAGGAAAGCAGAAAGGAGAATACTGGGAAGAGAGGGGCTTGCTATGGTATTCATAGCTTTCCAGGAAGTGACAGTACGGAGGATTATGAGTAAGAGCAGCAAAGAACATGGTTGCTGTCACCCCTTCCCAACCTTCGCTGAAAACTCCAGAAGCAAACAAAACAAAACACCGTAATAAATATGCAGCCGCATCACGAGACTGAATAGAAATGACGACTTCTTTCAGCACTGCAATCCTGCAGTAGTCAAAGCCACAGTAAACAGTGGACCATGTTTTCTGGGATCAAATCCCAAATACTGTCAGGAGAGACAGAAATACAAAGTGAGTGTGGCTTCAACCCCAACAAACGTGACTTCGAGGAGGTGATGAGGAATTAGTTTACCCCCTCGGAGAGCTGGCATCGCTTCTCTCCCTGCATACTGGTTCACCAGATTCTCTCTGAAAACATGCAAATGAAAATGAAAAGAGTTAAGAAGACCTTATCTGAAAACACCATAGCTACCCAGTGATTGTGGGAACTCTTTAATCGAGTTCAACCTGAGGAACCTTGAAGACAGCCGAATTTAATCAGCATATTCTTTTGGTTACAAGGAACTCAGTTGTTAGTTAAGGAACACATTTAAATGTTAACCATTATCTTGTGTGATTTTGTATTAAAAGTGGCACGTATCTTGCCTGGCAATGAGCTATAACTGGCTCCAAATAAAAGGCTGGAGAAATATTAAATGCTCTTCCCAATGCGAATTCCAAGTCTGCCTGGATCAGTTCCGTCGTTTTGAGTAACTTCTGTTACTCATTCTCCTGAGTGTGTTTTGTTTCTTGAAACTGGAATTCACACATCCGCAGGAACTCCTGGGAGTGACAGGTAATACATTACTGAAGCAGGTGGCGCAATACCCATGTTCCACTCTGTGTATGAACAGAGTTGCAGAACATTTAAGATGATATTTTAAAACTAGTTCTTAATCTCATCTGTCCCCTTCAGAACAAGGGCCTTTCTTCATGTCTCCTTTTTAAAATGAAGGAAAAGAAAAGAAAGACAGTGGCACTTCTTTTGACTTGGTAAATAAAGGATGCATTTTTTGAGTTCCTATTAACCTGAAAGTTTGAAAGAACTTGCATCACAGTTCAGGAACTCTGTAATTGATTTTTCCTATTAATTTACTTAGTATGAATGACCACAACAACAAGGAATTGCAGAACATTGTATAAAGTATCAAAACCATATGTGTATCATATATGGAAAATACAAAACATTACAGAAAAAGTATGTTTCTATCCCTATTTTCATTACAGCCATATTTTCTTTACACACTCTATACAGTATGTGGAAAACAATAGCTATAAACTTTTTGCATTTGTTTTGCAAGATAACTGAACAATTATTTAATCCATCTAGTGACAAATGTTTTGCATTGTGTGTCCGTCTAAATCAAGATACTGGATTATTTGTCGCTGCAGGATGGAACACATTGATCTTTGTTTAATAGTGAAAAGCACCGAAAAACTGAGGTGACTTTGGAACTCAGGGTAAGCCTGAATAAACCCTCCATTGCAGGTCTGACACCATCCGGGAAACCAACATTTGCAGCAAAAGGAGAAAGAATACAGCTGTACAAACATTTGATAGTAAGTATTATAGACCTTTGACACCGAAGTTAAGTCATGTTGCTGAAGAATATGCAATTTGTAATGTTTTGCTGAACTATATTGTAAGTTAATAAAAACAACTAGCAGAATGCACAGATGTTGAAAAAGTCAGTTATAAAACAAAATAATAAACTTCAGCTGTGATTTGTAAGAAGTTAGGCCAGACAAAATATGTAAAGTTAGGGTAGTGGATTGCTTACAATCCCCAAAGGAAAGTGTGGAAAAGCAGAGAAATAAGCAGAGCAAAGTGTGGATCTTAAAATGCAAATATATGTTATGACAGCTAGGAGCTTGACACAAGATGCTAAATTATTGTCTAAACCTTTATGCCATTGAATTACTTCTGTTTAAAGTTTATCTAACACAACGCTGGCTTTTTAGATTGCTATGCACAAGTAACCATTTAAGTATAAAAACTGTTGATTTTCTGTGACTTTGTGTATAAATCTTTGGCATATGAGAAATATTAACCTTTCTGCATAGGAAGCTGTCCTGAAAAGGGGACTGTGCATAATAAAAAAATACAAGTTCAGCAAGGATCTGCCAATAGATTGTTGGTCAGACCAACACACAGTATTACAGGAAATGTGACCTTCTGCCTACACATTGACTCCAAGCACTGTGAACTGAATTCTTTAAAGAGAAGGTGAGGTTGACGGTAATTGACAAGATCTGGGCAGATGATATACTGTACATTCTGAAGACAATGAGGGTTACATTGTTTTTCCAGTACATACAGCACATGTCCTAGTGTTCAACTGATTGCAAGATGAAAATACTAAGAGTACCAAGACATGGTATACCCAGGATGTGCTGTACTGGGCTAAGGTACTTCTGAGGGCATTTACACAACAATCACAGCTTTTTTCTAACACACCCTGTGAAAGATTGTATAAAAAGAAAGAACTGCTCTGCCTGCATCCTACTTTTGTCACTCATGTTTAGCAAGAGCAGGCGGAACATTCATCTTATCTTTGACAGTGAAAGAAGTCTGATAAAGGACAAGGGATTAGACAGAGAGTACAAGAGGCTATTAAGAAAATGTGGGTTCACAAGTTGAAGGTCAGTGAAATGAAATATGATGTGCAGGACTCATTAAGCACTGCAGCGATAATAAAAGACTGGTTATTATGTAACTACTCCAGAAATGGCTGAAGTTTCACTCACTTGAAGGCTATTGTTGTCACATTAATAACTGGGTATTTGGTGACATGTTTGTGGTTTAAATCATAACAAAATCCTTTATTTAATGTAGATTGAGCAATTAAAAGTGTTTGCTGCTCTCACAAAAGAGACCATAAAATTCTAAAACATGATGGTTCTTACAAGTGAATATTATTTTTACATTTTACTCTTCACCGAGTTTACTGTAATATACAGCAATTTTAGTTATTTCAGTGATTTTTAGTGATACAACATGCAGAATAAAATATGGTCTGTCTTATTAAAAACATGAAAATATATACTGTCTTATTGTTAAAATAAACACCAAAATAAGCCCAAATAAACACCACAGACCTGAAAGATAAATTTTGCTTTCAAAAACAGAAAAATATTTTCTTTTACAACTTCAGAGTATTTGAAAACAGAGCAGAGGTTAATAGGCCAGTAAAATAATTTTACTATCTTGGTGCATTTATGTGACATTAGTACTTCAGTAAAGTGACAGTTCACTGGAAAAACAAAGGTTTATGTGGAAGTGGAAGTTTCCATATTAACGTTTATTATCTTTTATGGCAATCCTAGAAATAAAATCTCTAGCCTCAAATGTTTTTATTTTTTAAAATTGAACTTCCAAAGCTAAATTGTAATTTGCATATTACTTATATTCTTTTAAGAAAGGAATACCTCTTGATGTCAAGATTAAATCAATTGTCCTGATAACTTTGTCTTTGGAATTTGAATTATTTTATCCTATTTTACATGCTGAATTTGTTAGTTAAATATTTCTTCAGGCTCTTGCATAACACATTAAATGTATAAACGTGCAAAGCAGTGAAATTTGTGACAAAGAAAAATGCTTAATGATTTACAGTTATCTGACATATCATTTTCTTTTCTTAGATGAGTCTCGAATTGAACGACATCTCAGAAAACATTAAGCAAAGATTGTTTGTGTACAGTGGGGGCAAACAACTGATATTTTTGTAAGCAATTTATTGTTCCTACAGTATTTCCAACAGCACATTGAATCAGCGGATTTCCACAGTCAGTTCAGTGTTGGATAATTACTGCTTTGCACTTACTTTCTCACATCTAAAATGTCTCATTGCTATAGGATGTCCCCTGTGCTATCTGCAATAAACACTGAATTCAGGCTCTACATCCGAGTGAGAAGCTTTTAACCAAACAAATGTTTGTACCATAACCATCTTGTACTGTGGACTGTTATGAAATTGAATTACCCTAAACCAATCAATTAACAAGTCCCCTGTGGTACAGTATCCTAATCCTGTAACTCAAACCAAATTATTGTAATGCACTACATCTACGAATAGAAAATTGCATTACTGTAAGCTCAATTCAACTCCCAACCTCTCTTAAAAAAGTGAATTTGAACTCTTTTGCTTGGGAAAGATACATTAAGATTTGACAAACTTGTTTTCAAAGATGTCCTGGAGTCGCACAAAAGGAACAAAGTAATATAATTTCTTTGAATTATATTAAACATAGTGAAACATCAGCACCCAATACCGATCTGAAAATCTCACCTAAGCAAAAAATACAAATGTTTTTTTCCAGTTCTGCAAGATTACTGCAAGGATGAGACTTGCTGTGTCTTCCTATTTAAGAAGGTTTTGTGTGAGTGTGCAACTATTTTGGGTGCTGATCTCTCACACTGCGCACTGCTATTTCAATGTTTCAGAATCCATAACAGGTTTCAGGAAATGGACTGGGTATCCACAACCCCCTTTGAGAAGGCAGATGATCATGACCTTGATGTGTGGAAAACATGCGGGCTGCCTAGATTCTGAACTGAAGCTCATCCCGATAAAACCAGGAATTCCTCTGTGCTTGCCCCTGGATCTGTTACTGAAAGATCCTTTCTTGTATTTTTAAATGAAGATGCATCCTAATTCCAAAACAAGTACACTGCTTTTTCATTCCTCAAAATATCATGTGTGTGTTGGGGGAAGGGCATATACTAAAGGGATTATTTAACAGTTAATAAAAAAATAAAACACTTCAGTTTAACTGCCCCCATAACACTCATTGTGACATTTTATGAACTTTATACTTAACAACTGTCACATAACTTGTACACTTAATTGCATTTAGAATTGATTTTTTATTGTTATAGTCTGAAATCAGATTTTTAAAGCAACATAATCCCTACAAGTCTGCCAGAATTCACAATCACAGAACAGCAAAAACTACCCAGCTCTGAGGTCATGTATATTTCAAGTCAGGGTGGTGATGGAGTGCATTGTTTGAAATAATGGAAGTAGTGTATGTATGTTAAGCATCTAGGCTTGCCACAACCAGTTGAATGTCATTTGCTGTTTCTGTTGTCCCAGACATGCCAATCTAGATTCTGAATTTGACTCTGAGTGAGAATGGTTGGAAAACTCTATTCTAGGAATTCATTTTCACAGAGCCTAGTGTCTGTCTGAACAGTTGACAGATTAAATCACAGTGCTAGATCAGCAGTTCTCTATTTTTGTGCTCATGTAGTGAGCGCATTACATTCGAAAGTATATTTTCTAACATCCATCCAGCCTACACTTTCAAACCACTGCTTCCAGTACAGGATCACGGGGAGCAGGAGCCTGTCCTGGCATAGATCGGGCGTAAGGCAGCATACTGTACACCCCGGAGAGCACACACAGACACACAGACACACACAGTCACACCAGGGCCAGTTTTTCAAGAAGCCAATTAACCTACTATCATGTCCTTCAGCTGTGGGAGGAAACATACAAACTCATCAAAGGTAGTAACCGAGATCTGGAATTTAGCTCAGGGCCCTAGTGCTGTGCTAACCACAGTGCCACCATGTGTTTTCTTACATATTTAGGAGAATTGGTTTGTGTTTTTGTGCTGTTTTACTGTTATTTGCTTGATCTTTTGTTTTGGTCTCATTTTTGAAAGGGTAGAACCATTTCACCTTTCCTTTTGAAAATACAACTAAACCTTACTGCCTGACAGGGAAGATCAGGAAAGACCGAAAGAGCCTGAATTTACAGCATTACAAGTATGACCTGAAGAAAATGCATTATGATCATACTGTAGGTAATAAATGGACAAAGATAGATTTTCCTGTAAGTTCTTCAGTTAACTGTTTAATGTTCGTTTTGTTTAAAGTACTGTAATATTCTGCAGAAACCCAAGGAACAAAATAGCATTATGATGCACCTGCAGGAGAAGAAGAAAGAGGGAAGAAGAAAGAAATAGCCTCCCATCAGTAATTGAAATTAAATTATTATAATAGCAGTGAGTTAAAGTGGGCATTGCAGAAGGGTAAGGGAAAGCTAAATTTATATCTGAAGGGTCTGTATCCTCTTCAGACCCACGTGAAGTGTTTGTCTAATGGTTCTTACTAAGGCAGTTGATTACAACATTATTTTAATAGAAAAGAAGGAAAGAAGCAATGATAATCAGAAGCCAACAACAGAGCTAGAAAGGAACATGACCTATTCAACTACTTTAAGAAGATTATAAACAGTTCTGTAAAAAAATCTTACATTCAGGCTCAAGGATTGGCAGTAATGACTGTTTTAAGAATACAATCCCACAGATTTAAAGGAACAGAAATGTATTTTCTTTAATGAGTGCAGCGGAGTGAGTCATCTTGAGTCCCGTGCTTTTCCACCTGTGTTTTGTAATTGACTGCATATACAGTATATGTGCTAACAGAGTACTAAACAAAATTAATGAGCAGTTTATTTGTTTTTTATCGCTGTCTCATTATATAGAAATAGCTGTCTTTACTGTATATCTACAGCACTTTATATATAGCTTTCTCTATTTTTACTGAAACATTCAAATTCAGGGGAGGACAGGAATGCTCTACTTTGGTAGGCTGGATCTTTATGGTCTTAGATGGAAAAGACTACAAAGGGACCTGAATCAAGTACTCCAAATCCAAAGGTTTCACAAGCTCAGCCTCATGGATCTGGCAGAATCAGCAAAGAGTCAGAAATCGAAATACACAACGTGAACTACTGTACGCGGAAGTGCATTTAAAACTGAGAACAGGGGGCACTTTATGCAAAGGGTAGTGCCTTCTTTTAAGATGTGGGTGGGTGAGATCCTTGCATCAATTTAGCTGCTAAAGAGCAAATGAGCTAGATGGGCTGAATGCTCGTTTGTGAACTTTCTTGTGTTCTGGATAAAAGTTACAATGGAGATGGCCCAGCTTCAGCCTATGAAATACATTGCAAACAGGAGGTAGCCATGAAAAGGTTACTATATGCAGTCTACCAGAACCAATTGCAAACCCCGTTGTCTAACCCAGCCAATTGAAGAAGGTTTAAATACAACATTAAGGACCAGGTGAAAACCTGACTATACAGTTAATCTTGAGATCCCGGTAGCTGGGGCAGAAGGGTTGGAACAGGAACCCCTCTATCGGCCCGCAGCCCCCACTGACGTTTGTTCTCTGAGACGCAGGGTTCCAGAAGTGACAGCAGGGCTTTCTTCCAGCTCCCTGTTCCCACAGCACCCATTTGTCTGCAAGCCCCTGATTTGCAGCTGAAGGAGATCAGCTCATGAGCTCAACGTTCACAATTGCAGAGGCGCAGCAAAAGAGAGGCAGAGCAAAAAGAGGAGAGAGGGAGGGAGGAAGGCTGTGAGAGGTGTTGACACTCCTCTGCAATGGGGCTGGAGCTGGAGCTTGCAAGCCAAACCATACACAGAGCAGTCTCCTCCCCTTCTCCCATTCTATATTAATTCCCTGTGGAACTACTACAGGAACAGCTGTACATGATACTCAGAGCGCAACATCACAAACTCCAGATATCACTGGCTCAGTCTCTGCTGCATCGTACCTTTTCTGCAGTGGACTATCATTCTGGAATACTTATTCTTCTTCAGCACAAAGGGATTATTAAGATGCAAACATGATTCAGAAGCTATCTGAGAATTTTCATGATGGTAAGTGCCAGAAGACTTTAATCTGTCCTGCTGAAGTACAGGTCTGTAGTTGCTGAAGTGACTTTTAATGCAGTGATTTCTCTTTTCTCTTCCTCTGTTAACATCAAATCTAGATATATTTAAAATGTGCTGAGAGATGGCAATTATTCTTTGATTGTCAAGGAAGCTATGAAAATATTTTCATCTTAAAAATTAACAGACCTATTTATATTTCTTCTTTACTGCGGTTTAAATTGTAACACAACAATATCCTCATATATAATTAAATATTCATACATTTCCTTTGAAATTTGCTCTTCATAAAAGTATGGTAAAAGTTTTGATTTTGATATAGGGTTTAAAAATGTTTAAAATGTTTATCAGATTAAAGTTTTTTTTTTTTGCGTTGCAGATACATTGTTTTAATTTATTGTAGTAGGTTTTCATTTCATGTATTGTATTTCCCAAACCCAGATTGCATGTTTAATAAAGGGAATAACAGGGAATTCATAAAGCATTAGCACACTGCTCTGAAAGGCAGTGGGCTCAGTATAACAACTCATATGCAAAGCATTAACCTCCAGGGTTTTTTTCAATGAAACATAGCCTTTTCATAGAAACCTCTACATGCAGCTAAAGAAAACTTCAGCTTGCACAGCTATGGACTAAACATAAGCTTCATGTGATGAAATGTATTTAAAATCTACATAAATTTTAAGTTGTGCATAATTTCTTTTCTTTTAATAAACATTTGCTGTTAATTTGTGACATATTTAGAAAACAGGAAAACTTTTTTTCACCATGTTCTCACTTTATGGAGCTCTCTCACCACTGTAGTATGTGGGACATTCCAATAGGGTTTAATGTTTTGGTTACTTAGTCTTTGCAGGGTTCACATGAGTCCACTGAGATTAAATAGCCTGGCAGGTATAATTCTGGACTCCTTCAAAAAGGCTGTGTAAGCAATCAGGATAGATCTGCCTTTTGTTTTGCATAAGAAACTGGAATTTATGTAGCAGCTCTCATCCCAAGGAAGCACTTTCTAGTGCAGAATTATATCTATCAGAAAAAGGAATATAAATTAATAAAACAAGCTAAGGTTTTAGAAGAATGTTTCTATTTGAGATCTCTATCACTCTGTTTTGCAAAAGAGCAAAGGAGTGAACATTCCATTTTATTGGTGAAAATGTTAACGCCTTAACATTTTCTCTTCTAAAACTGATGTGATCTGCACTTTGGAATATACTGTACAGTGGGCTTCAAATAACCTAGCCCATTAAGTTTTCACTGTATCACTTGTTCACTGGTTTGAATGGACAGTGGCTGTTTTTAGAAGGCATTCGCACCATTATAGAACACTGATGGGAAACAAAATCACAAATGTGATAATAGTGAAACATTAAATAAACAAGGTGCATTGCTTGACTAAAAAGTTTTGAAGGGTTATTTTCATATTTTAATTGAGGACACAGGGGGAATTCTCCTGTCCAACCTTCTGTGCACAAAAGAAAGAATGTACTGTGTACTGATGGAACACATTGGTGCTAAAGGCTAAAGGTTTTTTTTATGATGAGGGGAGGAGAGTATTTTAATTATTTTACCTGTTGTGAATAATGAACTTGATTCAGATAGGGAAACATTATGCAAGGTTTTATAGATAAAAACAATCTCACAGCTGTTAATGATCAGCATGTAGCCTATACGAATACTTGTTGTGCTACTTGTTGTGCTAGTAAATTCTATTTTATGAGAAAAAAACAATGTTTAATATTTTAGAATAGGAATATATGAAAGATAAACTTCTAATATAATTTGAAGTCTATTGTACATTCTAGGTGGTATTGACAGCCAAGAAGAAAAAGTAAAAAATCATAGCAACAGGGTGATTAAAATGCAATATAATAACCTTGTCTGATCCCACACAAACTCCAGGTGACCTATTTAGAAAATATCACTGTAGAGTTATACAAACTATGGTGTTTTAGGAACAGCTCTGCCAGGAAACTAATGCACAGAACTCTTTCAAGGCAAAATAGTAATCAACTAAAAAATCCTGCATATTCCACATGCAATCAGATCTAACATTCTGGACTTAATTCACCTTTTCTCTGAATTATTTAAACAAAGTATTGGACCCTGCAGTTGCCAATGTGTAATTAAATCCTGAAAGAGAATCGAGGATTGTTTCACTGGTCCTGCTGTCATGCTCTTCTCAGACAATGTTTGTTTCAGCCAGCTCTTATGCAATTATCTTGATGCCCCTAAATTGTGTTAACAGTGGACAATTCAGAGGTATACTGTACAGTATATGATAATTACGTTTTAAATTCACTGTGAGATAAAAACATGGATTAGAATTTCATGAATTAACCATGTATAATGTTTTTTTTTAAGAAAGTAACATATAATGGTAATTAAAATGTATAATTTTGCACAATCGTTAAAGGTCTTCATATTACATTTGTCCAATACATGGCTGATTATATTGAGGAAAGTAAACTTCCAATTATAAACCTGGAGCACCTGGACCACTTAGCTCATTACACGTGCAGGCCAGGGGTTTTACCGAAATACTCACACTCACTAAAGATATAATATTTGTTATGTCCTGCACGAGAGACCGAAGCACCACATTTTCTGTCATTTCCTTGGGTAAACTTTTGAATAGTTCAAATGTGCTTGAAAGCGCAGCTGGCAGCTTTCTGCCAACCCGGACATCTGATATGAACAAAGCATTGAGAAGGCCTAAAATGTTAATGAGCTTTGCAGGACACACTATCTACTTCGCGAAGTCAACGTGTTATTAGATACAATGAACTGCTTATGGACAGCCGGTTCTGGAACATTAACTTCAGCAGCAGCAGTACTACGTTCAAATAATAAATTGGGTAAGGTGTTCAAGAAAATAGAGAAATATATTTTGTATTTTTAAATAGTATTTCAAGTTTAGCAGTGACAACACCTAAAAAGAAGACAGAAAACGATATGTACAGAGTGACAGAATCACAGCAGCCCACTTTCCGAACTATCCAGACAAAAGAGGCTAGAAAACGCGGTGAACTTCTCGGCGTCAGTAGGGAGGGTCATTCCGCTCAGTGGTAACGCAATGCTTTCGGGTGACCTCAAGTTCCTTCAAGTCAAGTTCATTTTTAAAGACATCGTACAAAGCTTGGAGTCTGATTTTATTTTAATTAATTTAAGCAACTGCGTACTTGCGGACAATGTGTCCCGCTGAATGTTTTATAGTTCCGTTATGCCGCCAAGAGTGAGCTGATACTAAAAAAAGCGAAATTCAGCAGGGCACTTAAATTCAAGCCTCAGGTCACATGTTAATAAACATGTCGGGTAAATTTAGTCAATAGTCTGCGCAGTAACCGTTCTGGATATGTCTAGGGGCATATTTCCCACTTATCCATGAAGACGATTTACAGTTCGATACGGTTGCCACTGTATAGAAAAAAAAAGCAAACGCACTTAAAACGTTGTTTTTGGTATTAATATTCTTATGATAAAAAAACAATTCGAATACAATTTATGCAAGGTATTTGCATCCTCTGTGATGTTAAACGGTGAACAGAAGGATTTTTGACCATTAAAACCCCCTATAGCTGGACCACCTCTACAGCAGAAAACCTTATTCTCCTCTTGTCGCATAAACCTCCACCACACCTCCTCCACGGGTATGGCCACAGTTCTGTGCCGCATTCTCCAGCACATGGTTTCTCACATGGCCCGGACCGTGCTGATGCACTGCGAAGCTACAGCTCACACATTCATGCAAAGCTAGAGTCCCTGCTGCTCATTCATCAACTGGGAGATGAGCTCTGAATTCAGATGCTTTCTCGCTCCTGAGGTTACATCATCATTTCCTTTCGGATTCAACAAGTTTGTTCTGGCTGCTAAACGGAGAATCAGTATCATTCAAAAATAGCTGTAGTGCTAAAAGGTTTTTTAGACTGAAAGGAATATAAAACTATTCTTTGATTTTACATCTGCCACTGCACAGATGGGCGTTATTGTGAAACTGACACAAACATTGGCAATAAATACAGCATATCTACATGACACATGTAGGAGTATCTTTCAATGAGATACTAATCTGAAATGCTAATCTGAACGAGTTACTTTGTCCTCTAACTGTATATATACTTATTGCTGCAAAAACCCAATCCCGTAGGATTTAAGAATGAAGGAGCTGTTCACATCCAAACCATATCAAGGACATCTAGGGTGGTTCGCTGTGACAAGCATTAAAACAACGCACCAGAAATAAACAGTGAACCTGTATGTTTTTTTTTATTTCTTTAACAGAACCGAAGAACACACCACATCAAAACATCCTTTTTTAACTATGTGTATTTCAGGGGCTCTTTCAGCACCGCACTTCTCTGTCTGTAAAAAAACAAGGTAGCCGCTATTCTGTTTAAATGGGAATGCAGAGGATATCTAGTAGTTGGTTTCTTGTATTCAATTACTGCTACTTTAAGTAGGTGAATGGGTTTTCCGAGAAACTGGAAAAAGGGATTTGACGAAACGCTACCATTCTCCTTCAATATTTACATTCAATTATTACTCGTCAGACATTGATTGTAACACTGCGAGGTGTCCGTGAAACGACGTCAGCTTGTGAAGGGCTTCGAAATTAAAAATTATTTATGTAAAGACAGGAGTACCGATTTTTAGTAGATATATGAATGCTTTCTGAAATGAAAACATGGATGAATAAAAACTGCGGCAGCCTTAGATCTCTTTTTTAAATTTTGCCGCCACCTTCATCGCCCCCCTTCGGTGAGCCTCGCTGACGCAGCTTCTCCTCTTACATTAGCCTGAATGGCGATTGCAGCAGACTCGAAGGGTCGAGGGAGCGCAGTGCATATCCAGCTAATTACTACCACGAAAAACTTGTAAATGAGGCGGATACGAACAGTAAGTGAAATAATGTGATTCTTTATATCATCCCGACAGCACTGTCTTTTGTGTGTTCTGTCCGGCGACCTTAAAAGCCGCGTTATTTTCGGCTGTTGTACGCGACTGCAATGCCGGTCGGCTCTCCCCGGCTGCTGCCTTTCTTTGTGCTGTCACGACTCGTCGTGAGAGGCTTCGTGTCGTGCTCGCAACCGGCCCCTTTTGTTGCCATTTCTCGTCCGATTTCTGAATAAGTAAGTGCGGGAGGGACGCTGCCTGCACGAAGCTGAAGTGCTAAGGTCGATAATGTAACAGCGCAGATCTCTCCCAACTGTGTTGAGCTTTTTGTGCGTTAATGTGTCCGTCTGCCCTCGGCGATCGCCGGGCGGTTCGGCTGCCGCCGCCTCGGCTTCCTCCTCAGCTCCCGGCGTCGAGCTGCTTTTGTGAGGACACGGTCGGCTTCGTCCGCTCTACAACGGCGCCTTTCCCTTCCTCTTTCCAAAGAAGAGGGTGAAATGATTGATTGTTTATTGAGATCTTTTTGGTGTGGTTATTCTGAATTAAATCCGTGTATTTTGAAACCCAACTCATTATAGAGGCATTGTGCACTCGAGGCTGTTACGTGGACGAGCATGTTTTCTCCCCGCTAAGTGTTGTAAAATGCTCTTGCTTGTTTTTTTTTAAAAAGTGTTATTTTTATGTTGAGTTTTAAAATATGGTACATATTTTTAAAATGTGGTAGTTAAGGTACTGTTGAGATTGACGGCAGTTTAGAATGGCATTCTCTGTAGGCTGGCCTATTTTTACATAACACTGTTATCAACAGCAATATTGCGTGAAGTGATAGCGTGAGCTGTAAACTTTATGTACTGAATACCTTTAATTACACGTAACTCCTTTAATTGTTTTATTGTTGTGGAAAAATATGGCATTTCATCAACTAGTACAGTAGTTTTGTTTAATAAAATGTGGTGTTACTAGTAATAAGCAATCAACTAGCCCACTTTCGTTTTACTAGTTTGATAAAAGTGAATTAAGGCAATTAAGTGTAGGGTTATTAAACTAAATTCAAATTAAACGTGTCGTTTTCAAGTGAATCCCTACACGTAAGGGCTCTAGTTTTCTTGAAATGGCTTAACTTCCCACCCCTCAAAAAACTGCAACGTGGCCGCGGCGTCAAGGACCGAAACGGAGGTAATTCAAATCCGTGATCGAAGGGAAAAGACGAAAAGTAAATAAAAAGAAAAGTATTTGTTTTTCCCCTCTGTAGAACTCGATTTTCTGATCACGAAAGTCTTCCCAGCGAGTGTATTTTCGAGGTTTCCACAGCCTATTGTGCTGTGCGGCGTGGAGGGGGGTTTCGTGTTCCGTGACGTCATACAGCTCGAGTGGTTTCCACGGCGCTGGTGAAATCGCACTTCCTGGAACAGTGACTCAAGATCTGTGTTGTCACAGTTACACATTTAAAGGCAGACTTCCTTCTCTGTGTGTTCCGCCGGCTCTGTTGTGTTGCTACATGACGGGTGTATCCACCCGTGCGTTTTCCTGGTTTGCAAACGTCGGATATTTGCGTCTCCGAAATTCCTCAAGAATGTGTGCACACCTCTAACTTTTCTTTAGAACCCTTTGAGAGATTGGCGTGATTGGGCTTCCTGATATACCTGTAATGTAGCTAATGTTGTTTTGTTGTTTCCCAGAGCCTTGTGAACACATTATACTTACCCACTTTAAAAATACACTGGAGTTCTCGTTATACTCGTTTCATTTCCAGTTTAAAGCTGGAATTAAGTGCCCTTTATATTACATATAGCAAAGTAGAAACGGCTGTAAATAACACAATTTGTTTGGAATGAAAAATGTCCTGATACAATAATTGTACAACTATATTTGACAATTATTCTAGATGTAAGCTATGATGTTTCAGACTTTAAAAAGCTACAGTTTACCATAAAAAATTGACATCCGAACCACATGGCATGGTACTGTATTTGATCAGTTTAGCTAAGTGCGCAGCAAGGTGGTCCTGGGGTGTTATCTGCTGTGTGAGTGTGTATGCATGTGTGCCTTGTGATGGACTGGTGTCACATCCAGAGTGTATCCAAACTTGCGCCCGTTCCTTGCTGGAATGGGCTTTGGCTCCCCGTGACACTGTATTGGTTAGAGCAGTCAGAAAATGGCTAAATGAATTTAGCCAAGCAAAAGAGTGCGCTGCTCCTTTAAAGCACTGTTGCGTGCCAGTTGGCAGGACAGCCTTCGTTTTCTCTGTAGTATTCTCATTCATCCTCCCTCAGTCCCCACTGCAGCATGTTTTGGATGCTGCTGTGAGCAGCTAACTGGGGAGAAATTAATCGAGAGGACTTGGAAGAAAAGTGGTAACCAAACCACATCACACTGCGCAGCCAAAAGATTGAAAGAGCTTAGGTATAGACCCATATTTGTGAAATTATAGCTCTTAGTATATCTCCCTGGTCATGGAGACACCCCCTCCTCAAGGCCTGAGTGTTTGGATTTCCCAAGCTCCCATGAGATGCTAGGCGGTCAATAGTTTTAAGTCTGAAATTGTGCTATAGTGTCCTAAATATGTGAGACTGATTAGTGGGGATCTGTTAATTTCCCCGATTGTTGTTCAGGCTATTACAATATAACCACACAGTAAAGTGTGCACCAGGGGCACCTACCCTTGGAAAGTGTTCTACTTAGTGAAGAATAGTTTGACTATCCCTGTCCTTGTATGTACACAAGGCTTGCATGCAACTGTTAAATTGTTTCTTTATTAGTAATGTCCTTTAAAGTCTTTTCAGGTGTGCTGTGTACTACAAGAAAAAGCATGATCATCTGGTTTATCAGTGAGGGATGAGCCTATAGTGACAGACTGGGAAGCTTACCGTCTTTCATTGAGTCGTCTGAAGCCCTTATTGAAAGATGATGGTTTTATCATAGCTTTACCGAGAAAGTCTGCATTTCCTTGTATTACTATATCGCTGCCACTTAAAGATGCTGTATCAGTGGTAGGAAAATCAATCCTTATGTTTTGTTCTCTGTTGTCTTTGTTTTTTCAGGTTACCCCAATGTAAAATGGAGGATAGCTTTGATTGCGACTGTGGTGAGCTGGAGCCACCCGATCATTAACGACTGGATCCTTGCTTAATAAAAAGCTACTGGACTCTAGTTGTTTGATCAAACGATCAAAATACTTAAAATAACAAACGCAAAATTAAAAAAAAAAATCCTAGTGCTCATAGGCACAGTAGAATGACGCTGCTCAGGACCAGTCAAACACTGAATGTATCTGCACTGTGAGGATGTTGTTGTTAGATGCTTTTATATTTATTCACTTTTATTTTCAATGTTAGCATTTTATTCTGGCCTCAAGATTCATTCCATTGTAGTCTTTCTAACACTAGTGTAAATTAGACGGAAGGAAACCTCTTTTGCAAAACATGATGGTAAAATACATCACATGTCTACCAAACGTCAGCCTTTTCAGTTTTTCTCTTGGAAAGCTGTGAATGACCGACTGGGGGGGAAAACTGCTGGCCTAGTTGTTGACTTGTTTGGTAAATCCTAAGAAGAATCACGGTTTGAATGCAGAGTCTTTTGCACATGTTCAGGTTGTTCAGATTTTGTTCGAATCGATCTCAAGTGTCTGCTGAGCATTGGTATTTCAAAAATTAAAGTGAAAACCCTGGTACAACAACAACAATAATAAAAATAAAAAGTCTGCTAAAAAATGGCAGAGAAGTTTGAAAGCCTGATGAACATTCATGGCTTCGATCTGGGCTCCCGCTACATGGACTTGAAGCCGCTGGGATATGGTGGAAATGGTCTTGTGTTCTCCGCTGTGGACAATGACTGTGACAAAAGGGTGGCAGTAAAAAAAATAGTCCTCACTGACCCCCAGAGTGTGAAACATGCCTTACGGGAAATCAAAATCATCAGACGCCTCGACCACGACAACATCGTCAAGGTGTTCGAGATCCTAGGACCCAATGGAACACAGATGACGGAGGACGTGGGCTCTCTGACAGAGCTGAACTCCGTCTACATCGTCCAGGAGTACATGGAGACGGACCTGTGCAAGCTCCTGGAGCAAGGCCTGCTGTCCGAAGGGCACGCCAGGCTGTTCATGTATCAGCTGCTACGGGGTCTCAAGTACATCCATTCGGCCAATGTCCTGCACAGGGACCTCAAACCTGCCAACCTGTTCATCAACACTGAGGACCTGGTGCTGAAGATAGGAGATTTTGGTTTGGCAAGAATCATGGATCCCCATTATTCACATAAGGTAAGCTGTGCATTTGCTTTTTATGAAATGTGACAGTTCTGGAGGGAATGAGGTTTATTGCCATTGCCTTCCTTTGTTTTAGTTCAGAACATATTATTGTAGTGCTGTGTTCGTTGGGTGTGCTAGAAATGCAAACCTCAGTACAATGAGATCAAGCTATCATGCCTTCATTGGAAGGGAGTCCATATAAGCCTAGTTGAAAATAGGAACGATAAAAATATTTCCTGAAACCCCAAAAAATCGACGCCTTTGCTTCCTATCCCAAAGGATGTGGTTCCTGCAAGCAGCTATAAAGGATATCTCCAAATTTCCTTTCAACAAATGGCAGTATCCTGCTGCTTAACCGTTAATTTAGTTGTGACCAAGCATTAACTTTGTACAAAATGTAGCTGGGCAGTCTAGAGGAGTATATTTATTTTGCTCAGTTTTTATAAATTATAATGGACTTATCCTCTTGAATCTCCCTTCTGCTATCATTAGAGAAATCTCAACTAGCTAAGCCACTGGTTTTTAGTTCTTGTCCTTTCATGTTCAAGTTCTTAATGGTAAAATAGCAATTACTGTCAATGTTTGAATCTTCCTGTTATGGTGTTTCTTGGTATGGTTACCATTCAGCAAACAGACCCATGTGCAGTATATCACAGGTCTTAAATTTTTTAATCGTTCAGTCTGCCATCTGCATGCAGGAACTGTCTGCTTTGTGAGATTGCCAAGGCAGCTGTACATTTTAAAGCTCCTGACTGTGTACTCTTGCAGTTGGGTAATGTTCGGTGGTCAAGTCATCTTGCTGTTTATGTCCAGACATTTCTGTGTGAGTAGAAGCATGTTTGCAGCTAAGCCTAAAATAATCTTGCACATCGTGTCAGTTGACAGTGAAATATTTGATTGCAACTTAATTTGGAGAGTATGCAGTAACTCGGGTGTGCATGTGATTATGTGGGTGAGGTGGCAAAAGTACAGGTCGTGGGATGGCTAACTTAAATATTCAGGAAGCAAACATGCTTGCTTATTTAAAATCTTGTCAGCCTAAAAGAGTATCTAAAGAAGTGTGCATTCTTCAGAGAAAGTCTTGTCTTGAAACTCGCTGATGGACACTAGAGCAACATGCAGTGGAAATGAATGATGTCTAGCCTTTTTGAAAGTGCTGGCTCTAAACTCTGGGATTGCAAAATCATTTCCAAATCTGCAGTGCTATTTCTGCCCTTTGTTCTGCTCTGTCCTTGTAGCTGGAAGAACGCGACCAGTCTTAAACATGTTTGGAAACCTAGTCATGTTTCGCAAAGCAGATGCGGCCAATTGTTCGTCCTTTTTTTTCTACTCTGCTTTCTTAATCTCAAATCTTGTTAGAAGCTGTTTGATTGACCTTATCTTTTTAGTTACTACTTTGTACAAGTTGTGAGTGAAAACAATTCAGAAACATTTTGGGTGGTGAAGAGTGGTATATTTCCAACTCAAAGAATTCTTCGGAGGGGTACGTTTACAATTGCTTTTTATTTCACTTGTCAGGTGTACAGATGGGCTCTCCTGGTGTGGGATTAACCCCTGCACACCTTGAAGCTGAGTCATTAAGATTCAATTAACTTATCTCTTTGCTCTTTTGATATGCACAAAACTATATCTGAACTGTTCCAATTTGCATTTGTACTTTAAAGCTGATGTGTGCACAGCAGGCCACATGTCTGCTTCAATAGACAAGCTGCCTTTATAAGCAGCTGTGAGGGTGCTGTGGTCAGCAGTTACACATGATGCTGTGCCTGCAGACAGTAGTCTGGTGACTGTCGGTGACTGTTCATGCGGCACAGGGAGTCTGGTGAGGTCCTCTGTGTGTGCTAACCATTATTTGCAATTGAAACGGACCAAATGTCCAAGAGTAGGCATCTCTCTTGAACACTGGTTTCTAGTTCTGCGGATCTTGAAGGATTGAGTGGTATTTGCAATTGGAATCAACCTTGTACCAGTTCCTGAATTTCAGAACTGCTCCCATTCACACCTCTGCAGAAGGAAAAAACGTTTTTCAAGGGCTTGTTCGTCACATGATCGAGTAAATGTGAACTTGTCTGTTATAAAGAGCTCTTCAGTCTGCAGTAAAGGTGAGCACACTGAGGAGAGTCTGCTTAAAGTCCTGTAAGCTAAAGATGTTAAAAAAGGTACTTTTGAAGTAGGATTTTTTTTTCACCCTGGACTGAGTGCAGATCAATTAACATCATAATTTGGACAAAGCTTGAGCTCAGCAGACACAGAGGTCTCCCAGGATCAGGATAGAAAACCTTTGTTCTAAAGCAATGGCTCCTCATCCTCATTCTGGGGAATCATTATCTCTGTGTTTTTGCACAAGCAGAGTTATTAGTTTCAGATTAATTGATTCCAGTTGTCTGTTTTGGGGTATTTCAAATCTTTCAGTTCTTAAAATGTTAAATAGAATTTGTAACTGGTCATCTCTGCCAGTTTGAGTTTTAGGTTTTCCTCTGTAAATAAAAAAAAATGGTTGTGGGAGTGTTTGATACTGTACCATTCCCACGTCTGTTAATCATAAATTAATCACCAATCCATATCTGTTTAGTTTTGAAGCAAAGGCTAAGTAAAAGGAGGAGAGACATCTTGACATTTTTTTGTAGGCTGAAGTTGTCAGAAACAGTGTCCTTGAAGTAGTAGGTAGTTTTGAAACTGAACTAAGTGCAGAAATTTAAATGTTAAATTTAAATGCTAAAACAAGCATATCAATTAAAGGCATCAATTCAATTAGAATTTGCATTTTAGAGCTCAACTGGATCAAAACTCAGCAGACAGTGGACCTCTAGGACCCCCTGGCCTAGATAATGTAGTGACACTGCAGTAGCTGTGAAGATGATGGTGCACTTTCAAAATGTCTTTTCAGGTCAAATTCCAAAGCTCTCTGCTGCAGTTATCATGGTTAGGCATGTGGTTTTGTCAGGGGACTGTCTGGCTACAGTCCTCAGTGTGAAGCTGGCTTTCTACTGCCAAGCACCTTAAGGCCAGTTAGGGTATTGCTTTCACAATTTGCAGAAAGGTTATGTTGAGTTTCAGTGGTAGCTCTGGCTGCCAAACATGCTCTTTGGGTAGGTTAGGATTCTAAAATAAGATCAGTCTGTTCACTCGCTTTCTAAAGTCTGTGACTTCTGGCCTATGTACAGACAAATGTACGTATGCTCTGTACCTTCTTTTCTTGCAATGCACATATCTGCAGTTGGTTTCAAGTGTGTGAGGCTGAGGTATGAACAGATTTAACCAGAGTTAACTGTTCAAAGTATTTAAATATTGTGTGAAAAATAAACGATGAGCTGACATTTTGTAAAGGCGACTGGTAAGAAGGGTTTTCTAATTAAGGAAATGTCATTGTCTCTCAGTGGAGACATTACTGTGGAAAAATGCATTACTGACTTTGTTTACTCTACAGGCATCTGTTTTGGAAACAAAGCATAATGTTAATCTTGGTATGAAGGCCTGAAATGTAATGGACAAAGGGAGAAAAAATAACTGTCTTATGAATGGAAGGTAACATATTCTTTGAGACCATTGAAGTCATTGCTTGAAGATATAGTTTTTGGAATAAAGATTTACGGGTTTTGGAATAAAGTTCCAAATCCTGATGCTCACCTTTAAGGACATGAACAGTTTTTCTCCTAAGTCCACCAGTGAACTATCTCACTACTTGCGCTCTTCAAAGCTTAGTCTTCTTTTATTTCCTAACACTGGGAAACCATGCTTTCTGTTTTGTTGCATCAAAGCAGTGAAAAGGTCTCCCAGCCCATATCGGACCTTGCTAGTCAGTCAGTACTTTCATATCCTGTTTTAAAACTCCCTTTTATACTCCTAAATGCCTCTATTTCTTGTACAAGCCTGATAGCAGAGGCCACATTTCAGACACCAAGGGCCAGTCTGCAACTCTTTACTGCCTGGAATTGTCACAAGGTTTAATTCAGAATATTTAACCCATTTCCAGTGTTTGGGCATCCTGACATCATAGGATAGGAGTGTTGTTTTTATTTCTTTTGTGTCTTTGATTTTGGTCCTTCCCAAGCTTTTATGCTACATAAGGGGCCTTTGTGGCCTTTTAAAATGCTTCATAGAGGTTTTACAAAACTTGTTCAGCTTTACTCTAGAATCTAAACATTTTCCTTTTGACCATGGTGGTAGTAACATCAAAAGGTTCCAACCAAAAATGACTAGCAGTTATGTTCAGGTCAGCTTTTGTAAATGTGTGATTTCTTTTTTCCGTCTAATGCTTTTGAAAGCTGAAACATCTGAGAGCTACAACTGCATTGATCTGTGTGATCAGTTTAACGTAGTGATGGGTGTTCATGCCAGCCAGGTGCAATCTCTCAACAGGCGGTGGGTGTAGTTTTGTGAAGAAATGTGGCCAAGCATTCTGAATCCAGGAGCGTCCTGTTGAAGTCCTTTTATTTTGAAGATCAGTTATTTTTGTGGCCAACATATGGAACAAGTGTTTTCGAGAGGAGATCAAGCCCTCATCTTGCCCTTTCTCCTTCACGTTTCAGGCGTTCCCTCTTTAGCATTTCATTATGTGTGATGCCGTTCGGCTCTGACAGGAGACGGGTCTTTTTCTGCAACGCTCTGTGGTTCTCCTTGATTCCTTTCCACTCCCACTTTCTCAGCAAACCTTTGAACTCCAGCCCATTTTGGAAGACCTATTTCTCGCTGAACGCAAATCCCAGTTCCCATGCGATGTTGCACATACCCAGCTTCACGGTCATCCTTTCTCCACCTCCAGAACCCACATTGCATCCTTTGCTTCATCACACGTTCTTAAAGCCTAAGAGCTCTGCATTAGACTTATGGGGTCTCACTTGCCCATTTGGGGATTTCAGCAGTTTCACCCCCACGGGCAAGTTTCTGTTCTCTGTGCCAGTGAGATCAGACAGTATGGAAAACTATTTCAAACTGCACCTTTTATCCACCTTAATTACGGTTTGACTTCACTATGGACAGGGACTCCAGTCCTTGTGGTCTGGAATCCAGCAGGTTACTAAGCTTCTTTAAATCCTTAACAGACCATAGAAAAAAGATCTACTGGACCAGTTAAACTTTATTTGCATTCATTTCACCGTTCAACCAGCCGTATAGCCAGTTATGACCTAAAGAGCTAAAGAAAACGTCCTGGATTTAGGACCAAATTTGGGCAAATAAATGTTTATCACCTGATCTCTGTGCCCACCATCTGTATATTGTGTTGCACTGTCCTGACTTCAGTATTCATAGGATTAATTTGATCTTAAATCATGTTTGTCTCATACATGCATTAATAAAGAATTTTTATCAAGATATTTGAAGTTACTTTGGGAGCCCGATCTGCTGTGAGAGAGAAAAAAACGATAACACACAATTTAAAGCATGATAGTCAGATTGAGGTTTACTTTCACAGAAATAAGTAGGTCCCAGATCAAGAATGCTATAACATTATATTGATGGTTATCATTCTGATCCCAAATGTGGAAGTTTGAATTGGAAGCTGAGCATTGTCACAATCTGATTTAAGGCTTATTTAGTTTTGGCTCATTCAGTGCCTTATTGGGCAAATGTATTTACCATGTGATTAATAAACACATTCAGTTCTTTTGTGTTTATTTGGTCTTTATTTCTTGTTTGGTATACTAAAACAGATTAGCTCCATTTCTCCATGAAACAGGCTAAAGCTTTTACAATGGTCAAAATGTTTAAAAAAATCTCCAATTATGAACACTTACTTTACTGATTGCTGATACAAAATTCTCCCCACCCCTAACTTTGTAAAGAAATTCCTCCTGTCTCTTACATTAAAGTAAGATGTGGTAATCACCATGTTATAACACCAAGCATTCTGAAAACTGATTAAGAATTGAACAAACCATGGGGTCTTTGTTTTCTTGACTTGAGTGCTGGAAGAAGACGTGTGTATTTGGAAATCGCAGTCACTCCGTGACCACTTCTTACTGTAGCATGCTTTATCTACTGCAGGAGGTGATGATGCTCTGATGTTCATTTTTACCCTTGCTCATATTATGTCTTTGGCATTTGCAATTAAAACAAAGCCTCTTTGCATGTTTTCTGTGAATCTCCTTTCTGTGTAATCTGCCTTGTGAATGCCAGGTCATTATATAATAGTCAAATGTTCTAGTAAATTAATCCTGTTTTGGATTTAAAAAAGTGAAAGAAAGGTTTATCAACAGTAGGCATCACCTGGTTTGTTCACATACTTTTGATCTTCTCTGACTGAGCTAAGGGATCTTTGTTCTGTTTTGGATTGAATTTTATATTGTAAATGTATTGTTAGTTTGTAAAGCACACACACTGAACCTCAGTAATACCAGTGGCATTGGCCTGGAGCTGCAGATAAAGGCCTCTCACTGGTCGGCCTAGTTGGCATTTCCCTTCAGCCACGAGAGAGAAAATGAGGGATAATCCTTGTCTCTGCTGATAATGGGCAATGCTGACACTGGGTGCACATTTCTCTTGTTTTCGCTCTGCCCCCGCCCCCTCCCATGTTTAATTTTAGTGGGGTGAAAGTCATTGGGATGGAAATGGTCTGCTGGTCGTCAATGAGTTTACCCTTGTTTTCAGATTTATCCAAATGTTATTAGGCCTATGTCAGAGAGTGATATTAAAATAAACGACACACAGGTGAGGTACAGAGGAACCTTCTTAAGATGTGCTAATCATTGCATTTCTTTGTTTTCAGGGTCACCTTTCCGAGGGATTGGTCACAAAATGGTACAGGTCTCCCCGTCTTCTGCTGTCTCCTAATAACTACACCAAAGCCATTGACATGTGGGCTGCGGGCTGCATCTTCGCAGAAATGCTGACTGGAAAAACTCTCTTTGCAGGTCAGTGTAACGAAAACTGTTATCCTATGTTGTCGAACCATCTCTGTATTTTTATGGTTTAAAAGCTGAACACCTGGAATCGATTATTCCTTTCCACGGTATGCTGTGGAATGCAGTGATTTTGCTTGTAAGGGTCAATGTCTGTGCAGGTACAAAAAAAATCCTTGAATAGAAAGTACACTATTTTCTTTTTTTTTTGTATTTAGGCTAGTGGCCAAGTTAAGCCTTGTGCGTATGATTATTATGCTAGTGAGTCTGTTAAGACTCTTTGGAGGCAGGAATTCTAGAGTTTAGACCAGAGTGGTTACACTGCAGTATCTCAGCTGTTAAGAGTGTGCTTTTGCTGTTTCTTCAAAACTTCAAAACAGGTTTCCCCTCTCAAATTAGTCCCACCCGGTAGGACTAACAGTGTTGATGGTCTGAGCTTGCCTGTTGTAATATTAGGCTCTCCTGATGTGAACACATAGGTGCTCACGAGCTGGAGCAGATGCAGCTGATACTGGAATCTATCCCCGTTATCCATGAGGAGGACCGTCAGGAGCTGCTGAGTGTCATCCCCGTTTTCATCAAGAACGATATGTCTGAGCCACAGACCCCGCTGGTGAAGCTGCTGCGAGGTGTCAGTGCTGAAGGTAACAGGAATTGAAAATCAGCCCAAGGTTGATCAAGTCCACAACAACTATTGTTGCAACACCTCAGCATGGTAATAATAGAAATTGCATGACAAAAGTGTGGTGTAAATATATACTATAGCTGTCACTTACAAATACAGCTGTATTTCACTCTCCATGCAGGTGATTTATGTTTCATTGGTCTATTTAGAAAATAATTTAAATGATTATCATTTAAATGAAAGTCTTTCAGGTGCAGAGTGCTAATCTTAAACATTTCCTCTTGTTAGCATTGGACTTTCTGGAGCAGATCCTGACTTTCAACCCCATGGACCGTCTGACTGCAGAAGAAGCCTTAGCCCACCCCTACATGAGCATCTACTCCTTCCCATTGGATGAGCCAATCTCTAGCCACCCCTTTCACATTGAGGATGAGGTGGATGAGATCCTGTTGATGGATGAAAGTCATAGCCATGTGTACAACTGGGACAGGTAAATCTTGCAGCATTAAGTGTTCAGTGTTGCATTGTGTTGTATGTTTCCTCAAATGTTCAAACCCATGTGACTCATAACATATTTGAATTCAAAGCACAAAGTTATTTTTCCTCTGCTTGTTTGGGATTGAACCTTGAGTTCAATCCCATTCCCATGATTTCTGTCTGTTCGCATTGCAGGTATCATGACAGCCAGTTCTCAGACCAAGACTGGCACCTTCACAGTAACCATGAAGCTGATGAGGTCCAGCGCGATCCCAGAGCCATCTCGGATGTAACGGATGAGGAAGAAGTACAGGTTGACCCACGCAAGTACACAGATGGGGACCGTGAGAAGTTCCTGGATGACTCTACCTTTGACTCTCTCTTCCCAAATGAGCCTTCCTGGCAACATGAGGATCACCATGAAAACAAGTACTGTGACCTGGAGTGTAGCCACACTTGTAACTATAAAGCTGTGTCCCCTTCTTACCTGGATAACCTGGTGTGGCGCGACAGTGAAGTCAACCACTACTATGAGCCCAAGCTCATCATAGATCTGTCCAACTGGAAAGAGCAGAGCAGGGAGAAGGCAGATAAGAAAGGTAAATCTAAATGTGAAAAGAATGGCCTGGTAAAGGCTCAGATAGCACTCCAGGAAGTGTCCCAGCAACTGGCTGAGAAGGACAAAGAGAAGAACAAGGGCTTTGATTTCGATTCCTTTATAGCGAGCACCATCAAACTCAGTCTTCAGCCAGAGCCCTCCGAGGTGGGCCTCTTAAACGAACTGAACAGCTCTGTGTCCCTGATAGAATCCAAAAGCTCGTTGTCCAAGTCGGTCAGCCAGGAGAAAGAGGAGAAAGGGATAGTGAACCTGGCCCAGCTGGAGGGCTGGGTGCCCAACCCATGGGAAAGCCAGTTTGACAACGTGGAGGTCGGGGAGGAGAGTTGCCTGATAGATGAGGTTTGCTGGGACGTGAGGAAAGACGAGCAGCTAGAGAAGGAAAATACCTACACCAGTTACTTGGACAGGCTTTTTAGTAAGAAAGAGGAGGCTGAGGTAGCAGAGCCAGAGCCTACAGAAGACAAGGTAGCGGAGGAGAAAGAGGTAGAGGAGGGCTTTATTGGAAGAAATGGGGAGATTGTCTTCAATGTGCAGTTTGAGTCCTTGGCTCTGCCTGGGTTTGACAGTTCTTCAGATTCACCACTTAAGTCTATACAGGCCACTTTAACGCCTTCAGCAGTGATGTGCTCCCCCCAGATAGCTCATAAAACATATAGCAGCATTCTGAAACATTTAAATTAAACCACACCCCAAGACATTTTTTTAATAGTATGAACATTATTTTACTTGAATCATTTCATACATTTGTGTTGTGTACGGTAAATATTAAGGAATTTATTTTTTTCAAGGGTGCGTTCATAAGTTTGCAAAGAGTGTCAGACAGCACTTTGGACTTATTTCGGTGGTGCGGTGGGAAACAATCGATGATCACGCCCTGATTTAAAAACTGGCATGTCATTTGCACACAATGGACACCTAACAAATAAGGAGAGAAGGAAGAAAAACCATAAAAGAAAACAATGCAGTGCTGGCAACGTGAAATAATGAGGAAAATGCACTAATGATGATAAACTGGGAAGACCTGTCAGTAATGCAGTTAGGCCAAGTCTAGAAGAACTTGTTTTTCATGGAGTGGATCTCATATTGGCATATATAAATACACAGTGGGGGGAAATATATATAGGCATGTTTATTTTATTTTTTTAAGTAATGTGCAAAGGTCTAACTTATTAAAGTATTTTCCCATAAAGGTATCCTAAAACTTTTTCATACTGTAACATTTCTTAAGACACATGATGCCAGCATCATCCATTAAATGTAGACATTGGTACACATGTGTTATCTACCTCAAGGTAACAGCAGTGAGTGGGAAGCTAGGAGCCACACTAGTGCTTTAAGGCATGTTCTTGTATGTTCGCTTTGCCAGCAACCTAATACCATTCAGTGCGCATTGACTGTTTTTTAATACACATTTGCCATAGTGAAGTGTTAATATGCATCATTATTTATTTTAGCAAATGTGAGGTATTTATTTTAATTTTGTAGGTTCAATGTGACTGTTCACAATCGGAGGCATTTTATTTCAGTGCATTCTTTTGTCCAGCATTATGGCAAGATCGTTTTGTAACGGCAGAATACAAATTCATCCGCTCGAGTTCATGCTTTCTGTTTCCCATTGTTTGTTTCCTTTAGGAAAGCCCTCACTGTGTAAAGCTTTGGTTTTGTTTTTTTATTTATAGGTGCTTGATATTTCTTTAAGGAAAAAAAAACAACAGCTTTATGAATCTGAAAATGCGCCTAGAAGTCTTAAAGTCTTTTTTTAAAAATATATATAAAATAAACCTGTAATGTTAGAATTGTGTGCATGGAAGTAAAAATGGAAGGTACAATAAAACTAGAAGTTAAAGGTGAAGTATATCGTAAGTCATTAAGTTCATTTTAATGTATGTTTTTATTACAATTTATATATACTTTTTTTTCAAAAAGCATGATTAAATTAGGTTAATGTCTAGCATGTAGAACTTCTGGAAATTTATTTTGCCTTTTGAAATACTGGTACTTATTTTCTTGATCATTGGTTCCCCTGTTTAAAAATAAATAAAATAAAAATGGCCAGCAAATATACACAATTTTGTGTGGTTCCACTTTTTAATGATCTAATGTTTCAGTATTTGGTTATATTCCTTGCAAGTATGTGGCCTTGTCCTGCAAGGAAAGTTAAGTGGTTTAATGTTGTTGCTCCTCTGATACATACAAAGTTGTTCTTCACCAGGAAAGTTAGGGGCAAAAGCAAGCGTACATTAAAGCATCTTCAGGGTAGCTCTCGAGGAAAGGAATTTCTTAAACTTCAAGCTGCTTAAACTTTAAATGTTTTAAAGTTTTCATTCCTGATGGTTCTTTCCAGACATATTGTGAACATCTTGTTAGTGACTGCACTGCAGACCAAACGAGTCGTGTTTTTATCTACTGCTTTCAAAATGGAAAGAGGAGCTGGGAATCCTAACACAATTTCATTGAAAAGTTTATTTCAGAAAGCCCATCACTTCATAGTATTCTAAATCTATAAATGATAAATCCTGAATTATGTAATAAATTGTCACAAGTGTTTAAAACGTTACTGCTTAATTGTTTCTGTAGCGTATGGCAATGTCTGAAAATGGCATTTGAAGTCACCTGCACCCCACTTCCATAAGCAGTTTACCACAATAATCCACAATGGTATATATACAAGACCAGGTAATGTTTAATCAGTGTTGAAAAGAAAACACATTTTAGCTGTGGAGCCTTCTTCAGGTGCCAAAGGATTCCTCTTCCTCCCTGGGCTACTTGTCCCCTTCTCTCACTAAACCAGCATTCCGTCTCTTCACAGCGATCTGTTCCAAGACCAGGCCTTCTGACCACCTCCTATTCCTTTACAGATGTCATCATTGACATCCTGAAGAAGGCTCCACAGCCAAAATGTATTTTCTTTTCAGCATAGAATAAACCTTTAGCTGTTCCTTTGCAGCTAATGCAGCTACCTACTTGACCTTCTTATAAACACGAATTCTGACGAAGCTCGTTCTGATTGATCATGCCTATGGCAAGTGTAAAATTACCCCTTGTATCACTAGAGAATTTTTACCTTCAAATGGTGCTTGGGGAAACTACTCCATGAATGATTTCTAGGCAATGAATTCTGAGGAGCATAAAATAATGGTTTTGAGTTCCACACGGTAGAGTTTTGTTGTAGAGACAGTACTCTGTCCAAGACCATTGTCTCTGGCTGCTGGGAGCTCTTTTCTGTTTGCTCTGGGATGCAGGCTGTGTGCGCACACGCCCTCAGGCCTACAGAAATTAATATTTTACTTTTCCGGATATGATCCGATATCCAAAATAATCCCATGTTAAGGTTGATCAGGCTGGTTCCGTGTTGCAGCTGAAGTATGACAACTGTTTCCATTTTAAAGAGAAACCCATGAAGAGTGGTGGGGGGAGCACAATGTGCAGGGAGAAGGGGATAAGATATATTTTTAAAAGTAAAACTAATACCTCATGTTTCATTAAATGTAGAATTCCTAGACCTAGATGTCATAATATATGTAATTAAAGGATGAATAACTTAAAATATAAGACTAAAGTGATTTTTAATGATCATAAAAAGAAAACATTTTTTCTGTTAACTATAAAGTGTCCACTTGAGTTATAGTAGTTGAGGTCTACAAATTCATCTTCAACTTTGTATAGAAGGAATTCATGACATTGGTAACTGAGCCCTGAGCAGCTGAAACGTTTGTATTACTGTTCGAGAGAGAACAATTTAATGTAGTCTAATTTAAATTTTTCTAGGAGTAATTTTTAAAACCCACCTATTAAGGCTGTTTTTTGGTAACATTTGCTTTGAACATGTGAATTCATACCTAAAGGGCACTACATAATGTAAAAATTCAATTAGTTATCCAGTATATTTTTATTGGGTGGTAAAAATGAATGTGACAGAAAAACCAAAAGCAAATATAGCTCTTTTTCTTCACAAAATACAGTTTATTTAGTTTTAAAGCTGATGAGATCTTGTAAGATATCAAGTGATCATGTTCTCCTAACTGAACTGAAGCCAGTGTAACCTAAAGCTAAAACTAAGCAAACCAATCAGCACTGGAGATTAGCTATGTGACACTGGCTGAAAGAAGATAACCCTGAGGGAGGTGACCACCAAATTTGGTTAACACCTTGAGGGCCATGGGAAATTGTTCAGACTATACGGGATGATAGCCAGGGCACCATGCTAACCAAACCAAAATTGTGAAACGCTTGTGTTGGATTGTGTTACAATGACTTCTCAGAATTCCTATTGATTACTCATGTCGGGATTAAAGAAGATAAAACTAATAATTGCACAAATTGGTACATTCTAAACTGTGCTGTGACGCGTCAATTGCGACAAATGAAAAGGCTGCTGCACTAGCAAAAGGATATTCACCTGGTAGATCAGGAACATGGTCAAACTAGGACGAGGGGAAAGTGCAGCAGATGGGATTGCATTCACAAACCAGGCATTAAACTTTACATAAAGTGATTTCTTCTCATTCTGCATGCTTTAAGCCTCTTGGATCTTAAAATGCAGCAGTAAAGACTTTGATAAGTATATAAACTTATGGTTTTATAATAAAACCTAGTAGTTGTGTGTTCTGGTGTTCCAGATTTGCTAAGAGGGCACAGCAATTTGACAGTGCACAACTCTGCAAGGACAGTGTCCAGTCTTAGCTCAGTATTTATGAGACACACCTGCTGCAGACTTTTCTTTTTGTAGTGTGCTATTGATCCCTACCCTGGACTAATCACAGAGGTCATCTGCTTTTGCTGAGGTCACTTCTGCTCTTATTTTGGACTTCAGTAAAGAAAACTCTTCATGAAGTTTTACTGCTACTTTCCACTTTTCAGCATACCACAGGCCTTTGAGATCTGATCCATTGGTAAAGAGGAACTGCATTCTTGGCACAGCTCAGCACAGACCAACTATTTTAGAAGTATATTCAGCTGATTTTTTTTTCGTTATCAAACTTGAACTTTGACCTCTCTTACATAAGAATGGACAAAGTGCATTACACCATTTACAACTTCATTATTTTATAGTGTTATATCCCCATCATGTGCATTTGCAGTGGTTTTACAGATTCAATTTCATGGAAACTGGGAAGTCTCCAAATATTTTTTTACATGTGCCCTGCCCTTTTTATTTAGTCTTCTTTTATTGCCTTAGCTTTATAGGTTTTTGAAAGTGAACAATGCTAAACAGTCATTCAATCATCAGTACAACCAGTATGATAAATACTTCATGCATTTTAAATATGCAGTCAGTTTGAGATGCCTCTGTCCCTGATTTAAGTTTCAGAAACTGCACTTCTAAAACTTTATGTGCCCTTTAAACATACAATGAACTGTAGTGCTGTTTGTTATATTAGTTGAACCCCACAGCCCCAGGTTAAAAATAATAGCTGCAACATCGAACAAAGGCTAAGCCTCTTTGAACACGTCAGGTGATACTGGCTTAATAGCACTCCCATGTTCACACAAGGTCAGAAATGTGCTCTGTAGGAGTTCCCTGTTTAAAGGCATTAAGATTGTTAGTAAACTGAATTGACTTTTGTTGCACAGACTGCTATTGAAAATAGCTACAGAGATTTATTTTAAGACCGCTGCTTTTATCATTTTTCCAAATGCATGTGAATTTCTCGTCATTTTGGTACTGATAGTGTCCAGACTTGTGACAAGTTTTGACTATAGCCAGACTGAGAATATCACAATGTGCTCTTTATAAATAGGCTCTAAAGGACATGAACTTTGGAGAAGCACAGTATAATAGCTGTCTGCCAAACATATTGGATAATGAAGCAAGCTTTGCATTGCAAGGTTTTTATTGAGCTGCCTCCAATTAAATTGTGAAATATTATTGACTGGAAAAGCACATCATTGTTGTAGCACTAAAAGATCTTTATCTTAAAGGAATACTCTGATATAACAGAACTACTACATTTAAACCAGGCTGTAAAAAAAAGATTTCAGCTGAGAAAATGTTTTCAAGATGAAATACAATATATACAGTTCCATACTCTAAACTGAAGTTAAAGAAAGGTATACATCATTATTAACTTCATTACGTACAAAAAAATAATGTTGAGTAATTTGTGCCTTTTGCCACTTTCACCACGTTCGTTAAAATAGTACACATAAGGACAGAATCCCTTTGGGAACATAGAAATGAAATTGTTTATTGTCATCATTCTTTTTGAGTATAAAGACACAGCATGTGGGAAATCCCCCTCTCTTCTGTTCTGCTTCCTGAATTCTAACAGACCTTGACTAGTGGCCCACAGCTGCTGTTACAGATGCTCTATGTGTGTGTGTATAACATTGTCCACTATCAAACACAGGTGCAGAGAGCAGTTAATAACAATAACAGTAAACCAAAAAAGCAAATTTGGAAAGCTTTTTTATATAGATATGGTAATATGAACAAGCTGATAGTAGCATCTAACCATTTTCGAACCATGTCATCCAGTTCAGGATCACAGGGGAGCCAGAGCCTATGCTGGCAAGCAACTGGTGCAAGGAGAGATACACCCTGGATGGGGTGTCAGTTCATTGCAAGGCACACACATTCAAGCCAGGTCCAGTGAAGCGAATTAACCTACCAGTGTGTCTTTGGACTGTGGGAGGAATCCAGAGCACCATGTGAAAATGGGGAGAACATACAGACTCCACACAGACAGCACCACAGGTCTAGAATTGAACCCAGGGCCCAAGTGCTGGGAAGCAGCAATGCTAGCCTCCGCCACTGTGCCACCACCAGTAGTACCAACAGTAATTAAAATATTTCCTTGTATTTATAGTACTTTGCACTGTTCAACTCAATTTTTAACAGCCACATGAGCCTGTAAGCTTTCTAAATTTTGTTCACCTTTAAAGAGCAGTGAAATTCTGACAGATTCTGACAGATTTTATTCAATCAGAATGGCATAGCACAAACTGTGGTGCAAAGTGGAAAGGTTGCACTTGAACTTGAAGCAGACATGTTTCACTTATTACACAGCAAAGCCTCTGGAACCGATCCTCTGAATGTCAAAAAAGCTTCAGAGTAAAAGTTTGGCAA